GACAGTAATTGAAAAATTGCATTCATTATTCTGACACTATTTCTGTCTCTTTTTGTTTTTGCTTCTTGCTTGTCTGTAGCAGTTGAGTGTTTCTCCTGCCACCCATCTAGGCCTTTTCTTTCTTTTGATTACAGCTATTGTCTTTTGGTGTTCTTCCCCAACAATGTCTCTGGTTTCAGTCCACAGGCCCTCTGGCTCATGATCAATTAAACTGAGTAATACAAATCTGTTCTTTGTGTGGACATTCAGTTCCTCAGGTATGTTCTAAGTTTGATTCTAAGTTTCTGTTAGTGATTCTTTTTAGCATCTCTCTGATTTTTCATATTCAGAGTTCATGGTCACTACCACAATCTGCTTCCCAGTCTTGTTTTGGCAGCGAGAATGTAGCTTCTCCATCTCCTGCTTCCAATTACATAGTCTATTTGATTTCTGTATTGGCCATCTGGTGATGTCCATGTGTACATTTGTCTAATAAGTTGTTTGAAGTATGTATTTGCAATAAACAGATTGTTGGCTTCACAGAATTTTATGAGTAATTCTTTTAATACATATGTTCTGTTCATAGTACCCCCACCACACAAGTTGCCCTAAAAATCTTTGAAGCCTAAGATAAAACTAATAGGCCGCTTTTATTATTTCAAATTGCCTGCAGTGGTGTACGCAATATTTGAATCAAAAGAGCCAAACAAGGCTGCATCCTATTTTGCATGCTTAGCAAAGGGCATGAGTGACAGGATGGGGTCTCTCAGGCATGGCATTATCCCAGTACTGGCGCTTTAAAACCAATCCTAGTTTAAGCTCAAGGCATGGAGGGATCTCTCTAAAACACTTCCTTATAATGTTTCTTTTTCATATAGTTAGGCCAGATCTTATTTCTTTATTTAATTTCTATACTGCCCATTAGGCGGCAGATTGTGGACAATACTGTTTTTTTAGGGTTAAGAAAATAGCAGCTCTTGAGCTATTGACTGACAGATAAATACTGTACAATAGTCTCAGTGCATACTTCTTTCTACCTGATGAGATCTGGATGTGAGTTGAGTACTCTGTTCTTTTTCACTAGCAATTATGCTACTAACATATTTCACCATTACTCACCTATGGCATCTTGAGCAGATTTTCATGCCTTGAATTAACCATGAGGCAAGGTACTAAACCAAGTGCCTTTGGTTTCCTTTGGGGCCGCTTTTACAGCTAAATCTTGAAAAGGACCTGCAAAAGGGATAGATTAGTCTCCAGGAGGCCATTTTTTACTGACAGCAATGTTGCCACTTGGAAAACCCACCAGAGGGATATCCCCTTTCCCATGTCACAAATAATAAAAGCAGGTTAATCAGGCAGAGACCATGTCTCACAAAAATGGTTTCCTATCCAGGGTAGTCTTGCCTTGGGCTAATTTGCCAGTCAGACACATAGCATGGGGCACATCGCATACGACCGAAGCATCTGGTACAAGCCACCATTAGAGGCAGGGTACCGAGGTAAATGGGCTATTGCTCTATCCCCAGTAGAGTTGCAATGTAAGACAGCAGAAAGTAAGAAATGTTTTGATATTCATTGGGCTGCATTAAGGGATTTTGACCCTTTAGCAGTTTCTGATCTGTTATGCCTGTCTAAGTTTGGCTAGCTATTTATAGAGTTTAATAATGGCTCCAGCTCATAAACAGCCGTTTCCATAACTACTTCCCACATCCAGCATAAGCCACAGCAGATAGATGCAAACATCCTGCCTTAGCTGGATGGGGGTGGGGGGCACGGTGGGTTGTTTGTTAGTGTTTCAGTTTTACCAATCAGCAGTTTCAGTGAGGGTGATGAAAGGCAGCTGGAAATTTAACATGGGAATGCTGACGTGGCTGATGTGAAAGAATGATGTCTGCATGTGTATGAGAGAGGAAATTTAAATTATACACAAAATATAAAAGAGTAGCCAAACTAGGCTTGACAAGAAAGCAATTATTGGGCATTTTTTCTTTTGGAAATAGCAGCTCTGCCAGTCTTGACAGCCGCATCAGGCCCGCAAGGCAAGCCGGCCAGGGTTCTGCCAGCCCTGCCTTGCCCATGGCCATTTGCAATGGGCAGCCTCCACTGGAGTCAGTGGAAGTTTCCCTCCTCCTGCAGATAGTTTCCTTTCTAATGCCAAAAGCCACAGGGAGGAAGAGATTTTCCCTGAGCCTCAGCTGGAAGGAAAAGGGTTATCCTTCTTCCTCCACACTTGCTCTAGCCCCAGTTCTATACAGGTTATCTCAGGGCTGCTTTTTATAAGAACGCCCCCCCCCCCCGCCTCCCGCACCCAGCACACTAATTACCTTTGCATAATTAATGCCACATCTAGTTTGGCTCAAAAGCTTACCAGTAGGAATTAAAACATTAGCGCCCTAATTCAACTGTAGTTGCACCAGAATATAGAAGTGCATCCCATCGAAAATGATGCATATAGATGGGCATAATCCCTTTTCTGATAGGTTCCCAGTCTGGAGAAGATTCACATAGGTGCCTATGCTTTTATGCGCAAATCACTTTATTTGGGTTGGGGCATAAGATTCAAGTGTCAGAAAAGAGAGAAACGAGGCAGAGAAAGGAGGAACTGTGACTGATGAGGAGAAAATGGACATAGCAGTGGCTGCACACAGGGCCTTTCTGCACAGTTCTACTTTCAGGCAGTGAGTGTGTTGTTGTTGTTGTTCATTTGTGATGTAGGGTCCAGATGCCTGTTTCCAAAGGACTGCTGCTCTGACAACCAGGTTCTCTCAACATCCACTCCTTACTTTGACACCACCAATCACCTGGCTGTGAGGGACAAATGTGGTGGCTGTGGTGGTACAAATCCAAACCTCTTTTCTCCCTGGTAGCCCCTCAGAGGGAAAGATAGAAGCCATACAAGTTTCACCGAGGGCTGCTCACTGAGATTCGGCATATCGAAGGGCTTTTGTTTTTTGTTTGGCTTTACCATCTTCCTGCAAATTGTTACCCTCCAGAATGAGGTGTTAGACATAAAGCATGTATCCTGTGCTCACCTTTTCCTGCTTACAGTTGTTTACAGCTTCTTGAACTAACATTGTAATTCTCCAATTTTGCTTTTGTGTTAGGTTTTTTATAAAACAGCAGGGGAAATAATGGCATTTAATTATGAAAGTGAAAGAAAGCACGATTTCTTCTTCTGCATTTGTACTATTTTTCTATACCACACTTCCTTTCCTAGCTGGAAAGGAAATGTGCCCCCTGTGGAGCTTGAATTTCAGCTCTGTGACAAACCTGAAATTAGATAAATTAGATAAAAGACCCTAGTGTAAAAGGGTCTTTTTTTGAAGAGAGAAAATGTGGCGTTTAATTGTGGAAGTGAAAGGAAATATGATTTCTAGATGTGCATTACTACTATTTCATTGTGTCACAGTGTCCCTTAGAAGTTATGTGGTGGAAAAGCAGGAAAAGAAACACTCCTTGTACGGTGCTTAGATCTCAGTTCTGTGTTCAAACCAAAAGTTGATGAAGCAGATTAACAGCTGATGAACAGAGAACATCAGTTAGGAAGGTTAAATGAGTATATCAAAACTAGGCTGGGTTGAATGGCTTGAATTTGTGCTGAAGGGCTGCTTCATACAGGACATCACTTGAGTTCTGCATACTTGGTTACACATGGGAGCTGAATGCAGGAACACACACCAATGGAAGTGTTGTGTTTGAGCTTTTGCAAGGTACTTGATTTGTGATGGCTCCTTCTGAATGGCAGGTTGCTGCTTGCATATCACATGCATATCAGTCACTAAATAGCAATCATGTGGGCAGCCTTGAAGTGGCTCTTATTTCAAAATAGAGAGCATCTCTGTTCTCACAGGTTCCCTGGCAAGGCTAGCACATTGGATAGCTTGTATACTATATTCAGTGCAGAGTTAAGTCATAAGATGAAGGAAGTCATAAATGTAAGCTGCCTTCAGCTCCTTGAAAGGAAAAAGAGTGGAACGAACACACACACACACGCACGCAATACATACACACACAAAATGCTAGCAAACAAGAACATTTGTAACCATTTCTTCCTCTAAGGGCACCATCCAGTAGTTTTCTGTAGCTGCCTCTGCACTTCCCCCACCCTGCAAAAGACATACAAGGAGGGTTTTGGCTGCCTACATATTTTGCCCTGCTCACAAGGAAGACGGGCTGAGGTGCCACCCAGATTCTCTGTAGAACAGCAGTGCCTCACTCACCCCCTCGCTGCCTCCTGAAATGCCTTCCACCATCCAGGGCCTGCTTTGACGCCGGTCTTCCATCTTTAGAGCCACAGCTGGAATGAAAAGAACCACGTCAGCTGCAGGGGTGGAAAGAGCACTCTTCAAAGGTGGTGCTGCTGTGGCAGCTTTGGGGAATTTTACAAGGTCTCAGTGGGGACTCTGAATTTCCCAGTGGCCGGCCAGCCAGCCCATATCTTCCAACCATATGATTGCACCCTAAGTGGCTAGGTGTCATCCTCCTAATTCCACAATATTCCATTTTTATTAATTTAACTTGATATTTATAGATCACAAAACTTTTTATGTATTTATTATAATTATATTCCACTTAATATAATAGCATTTCTACTCTCCTTCCACACTGGGATTACATTTTTGGCAACTTCTGTATAACTCTTTTTATTCTTGCTACTTCCTTTGAGCAGAATGTTTTATTATCTATGATCTGCCTAATTCTTAAGGCTGCTTCATTTAAACACCTGCTTCAAACCCTCTTCTGGGCTCTAGCAGCTTTACTAACTAATCTTCCTCCTTTCCTCTCTCATGTGCAACCTAAAATGAGCTGAACACCTGTGCAGAAGATTTGTGTTGCTTTTATTTTTGCACACAGCCTTGCTGTTGTAGATGCCTTCTCTGATAGCAGGCTGTGGCCATTATGATTTTAAATATCCATGTTTTCAGTATCCTTTCAAAAAGATGTGCATAGATTGACCAAATTGATTATTCAAATGCTGTTTCCCAATTTTGGAGTTTATGCTGGCTGTTAGGCAGATGTAGAAGTCTCAGTTCCTTTATTAGCTCATGCACTTGATGGAGCCTTTACACAATAGAATGTTACTTGATAGCATATCTTGGGGGACCGTAATTTATATGTAGAAGAGAGGCCATAGTTCAGTTGTAGAACACATGCTTTGCACGCAGAAGGTTCCAAGTTCAATCCCCATCATCTCCAGGTATTGCTGGAAGTCCTTGTCTGAACCCTAGGTTGCTGCTTCCACTCACTGTTGACAATTGGACCAATGGCCTGACCTGGCATAAGGCAGCTCCTCTGTTCCTATTGAATCTTGTACAGTAGAAAGAGGGGGAGAGAAAGAGAAAGAAAATTAGCTGGATGTGCTGTAGTAGAATCTGGTCCGGCTCGGCTTCTTAAGCTTCCCATTAGGCAACACATTCACCAAACGCATATCTAGGCTGGAATATTCTCTCACACTTCATGGTTGTAGAAGTGGGGAGCAGTGATGAGTGTCAGACTAGGAATGAAGAGAAGCAGGTTCAAATTCCTGCTCAGCCACTAAGCTCCCTGAGCAACCTTGGTCCATTTACCATCTCCCAGCATTATTTATCTCGTAAGGTTATTGTGAAGATAAAAAGCATATCTACCCCATGAGCTCCTTCAAAGAAGGGCAGGACCCTGAAGCTTGTGTCAGTCATCAAGGAAGAATCAAAACAAGAATATGTCTCCTTTCCTAGTCTTCCTTGTCCACCCCACCCGCAAAGTCCCTCTGTTGCTCTGTGTAGGACAGTCTATCTCCTTGAACTACAGCCTTAGAGCTCCACAGCTGTGCTAGGAACTGGCATTTGATCCTGCACTGGGCCTACATGGATGGCCCCAGCCTGCCAAGAATAGGCTTAAATCTGGACGTAGGAAAACTGGAGTGCAGAGAGTGCCTTGATGTCATAGAGCAAGCAGAGATTTTGTCAGATTCCTGTTCTCCTGTCAGTGTTTAGGCTGACAGAAAAGAGGAGAACATTGCACAGAACCAGAGTGAGTGCTGGAAGCAAAGATGGAAAGGCACAGCTGCTCTCTGAAAATGGGTTTATGTACTGTGATAGCATTAAGAGAAATGGGGGGCTTCAGAGAGGTAACTCCACCCCCATCCCCCACTGCAGACAGGCTGCAGAAATCCACTATCAAGATTATGATAAGCTCTGAGAAGAAACACATCTCCCTAGATAAGCCACCCTTTTCAGCCAGGGTGAGAGTTGAGGTCAGACTTGTCCTGCAGAGAACAAAAGCTCAGCTGCCAAAAGGCACTGCCTTGGCCCTGTAGCTCCTGAATGTGACCAAGAGAAAGGAGAGATAATCTTCTCCACCCATATACACACCCACTTACATGCAGCAAACGCAAACCTAGCCAGGCCTGGCTGGAATGGCCCAAGGTAACTGGACATTCCCTCAAAATCCATTCCGTTCAAAAGAGTTCCTCCTCTGAGTTTTGTCATCATGTTGGCCATCCTCCGGCTTCCCTTTCATTGTTTCCATTTAGCTTACTGCCTAATATAACAACATAAAGAAGAAGCAGCTTAATGGAGAGGGAAGCTAGCTCTTCAGTGGCCCTACAGCAGACGTGGGCAACACATGACACCTGCCAGAAGGCGTGGGCAACACATGACAGCTGCCACCCTCATGGCGTATCACCCACGGTCCCTTGTTACTACAGTGCTGTTGAAACTCACAGCAAAAAAAAGGGGGCACTTTGCTGCCAAAGGTTGCAAACAAACCACCATAGAGTGATAAAGTGGTCAGGTTTCACTTGAGAAAAGTCCATTTTGACCTTTCTCATTACGCTGTTGCGGTTTGCTACCTGTTCCTGGCTGCAATCAGAGTCCCCCTCTCCTCATCAGTGCCAAATTCTGCCTTCTGGTGGCAGAAGGAATGTGGCCCATAGTGAGTATCAAAAGTGGTCCTTAGACATTCCAGGGTTGTCCACCACTGTCCTGGAGGATCAGATACTGTGATGAATTTCCCTTCTGTCCCATGAAATTGCCACCTTACCAAAGCAACAAGTTAGATTGAATGGAAGAAGAAAGGCATCCGACAAATATTACAAGTGCTAAGAAGAACGCTGTTGTTGCCTTGCCATTCTAAGAGATTTTGCTTTTCTTTTTGCAGATTCCACATCTTGTCAGCTGAACAGTTGAGCTTAGATAAATCAATGTACATGCAAACAATACTCTATTTTTCTCTAAGAAAAATCAGAATATCCTTTCCTTTTTGCCGTGTTTAAACACGTCTCACCACTGCATTTTCACAAGTGCTAGCCCTGCAGGCCACACTGCAGTCTTTCAGCTAGTATGCATCCCACCTCTCAGTGCTATCTTGTAATTGTCATAGAAAATGTCATGACCAGAGGCTGAAGTGGAGACCATGGTGCAGTTTGGCAACTTTAGACAATGGATTTCATGTTCTCATGATACTGTCCTCTTTGAGGGCAATGCATGCCACTTCCTTGACTTCAAATTGTAGTAAGCTGGCCATCCTATGTCTGGAGTTTCTTCCTGCTCATTCTGTTAAGGGAGACCCTCAACTGATGGTGATTCTTGGCTTTGCCTACCATTAGCCGTCCTAACTTCTGCCCCACTAGTCCAGTGGGCACCAACCCTCACTGATCATAAGCAGTATGAACCTTTGAAATTGATCAGGTTGCTAGAAATATGATTCGTTGGTTCTTGTGCATGTTCCTGCTCAAAAAAGCAGTACTTCCATTGTCTACTGTATTTCAGGCTCCCAGCAACTGACCTTATGGGCATTGGTTGGGGAGCATTTCGCTCCAGGTCTAGATCTGGGTATTGCCACCCATGCCCTTGGCCTGGCCCTGGCAGCTGGAGGAGTTCTAACCTGCTCCCCGCACTCCAAACTTTGAAAGCACTAATACTTTCTGAGATTGTTGACTCAACCGCACCCGTCCATCGGTGAAGATTCCATTAAAACACAAACTAATTGGCTGGGAACCCATTTCCCTATCCTGCTATTTGCAATTGCTCTTTGGCCATGTGTTTCTCAACTGTAATGATTCCTCAGCATCTTGGCAGAGGGAGAAGGAGGAATTGGAGGGTATAATGGAAGGTTGACATTTCATGTTTTATTGATGGAGCACTTCTTCCAGAAGGGTGAGGGCTAGTGGGAGGGGAAAGAAGGAAGGAAGGAGAAGGCTTGAAATGAAGCATTAATATACAGCTCAAGTTGTAAATGGTGAAAGATGGATTAGGAGCCAGTTGAAAATGTGTCAGAATGCAGGAAGAAAAATGAACAGCTGTCTGAAGAAAAATGGGCATCTGATGAAGGACATAAGCCTTGGTGGAAGTGAGATACTCAATGCTTGTGACATAGTTCAGGAAATCTTGATGAAGAACAGCTGGGTTTGGGTAGGGAGTGGCCCTGCACTTGGGGAATAAGGTGGGAGGAGGGGTGAGAGGAGACCCTTCAACTCTGCAAGTCGTTTCACTTACTCATGTCTCCCAGTTAAAACAGCAAAAGTAGCTCCTGACATTTTCTCTTCTCTTCCAGAGGCAGGATGTCCTCTTCTTCCCTTCTGATAGGTGTTACAGTCCAATGGCAGGAGTGAGGTTCCCACCTATCAGGTAAACATCCCTGCCATTAAGAGCCATTTGATCCCAGCAAAATTATGTTGCCAGCATATTATTACATTTCATTTACTGTATATCCTGCCTTTTTTCTTTTTGTGAGCAACCCAAGCTGACTGATGTAGCTCCCTGTGAGGGAGGTTAGACTGAACATCGCCAAGTGAGCTTCATAGCCAAATAGGCACCAGAGACCAGATCTTTTGGATCCCCAGTCCAAGATTCTAACCACAAGCATACTGTCTTTCTTGTGAATTGCTTCTGAGTTTAACTTGTGATTGATATCTGGTGTGTGTGTGGGGGGGGGGCAATATCTATAGAGGAGCTGAGCACTGGAGTGCTTATGTGTAACCTGTAGTCTCACCTCAGAAGCTGGGTTCTTCTCTGAGTCTTTCAAATGTGCCCTCCATTTTTGTAAATGGGTGCTATGTACTCAAATATTTATACAAACTTTATTGCTTAAAGTGGGTGATGTGTGGCTCCCCCAGAGAGTGTTTCAGGCTCCCAGCAACTGCCCTCCCAGTCGACATAACCAATGGTGAGGGGTGGGGGAGTTTCAGTGCAGCACTGTCTCATGGGTCACATGCTTCCCTTCTCTGACCTCTCATTTGCATTCCAAGTTTAAACTACACCATCATATCGTAGCACATTCCATTGGACGGACTTCACTTCCAAGTAGACATGCTTAGGACTTCATTCTTGGTCTCCCTCTGCTCAGATGGACAGGTGGTATAGCCAAAGCAGACAACATGCTAGCTACATCACCATGGCATGTACAATGTCCAATCCAGTGGATTGGAGCTCATATTGTGAGCAGAGGCCCGGTTGCCCAACAAGACTTCTTTGACCCTTTTGAGCAGATGGAGTATGCCTGTAGGAGCCCACAGGGTAGGAGGGGAAATCCATTCTGCTAACCCAATGTCAGCTCCTTCTCATCCTTCCCAAGTACCAGAAATTGAACTCTAGTGCTGGAAATGGCACATCTCATCTTTTCACAGCTGCATTCTTAAGAATGTGCCTCCCTCTAAAATGTTATAATATCTGAGATCCACAGAAGTTCTTAGATTCCCAGCAGCCTATATTGACTCATCTTTTATTAAAGCTCTCAGGATGTGTATATTATAGGAAAATGCTTGTGGTTTATTAGAAAATTAAGCATGGAGCTTTAATTACAAAAAGTATATTTAGATGCCATCAACTCACATGTGTGCAAACTAATGAATATGGAACACTGTTTCAGGGAGCTTTTCAAGATACCTCATCAGCTCCTAGAAAAAATATGCAAGAATATTAATTAGCACCTATCTGTTTTCTAGTAACAAGCATTCTTTCTATTGCATTCCTTTGCTTTTCTTAGAACACAGTTTCTAATGGCATTATTATAAGACAGTCTTCCCAAACTGTTACTCTCCAGATGTTTTGGAGGATGACTTCCATAAGGTCTTCATGCAAAACATTGATGATTCTGCCTGGGGTGATGGGATAAGAGTTATATTCTAGAATTTCTGGAGGGCACCAGACTGAGGAAGGTTGCCCTAGGATATGCTACACTGAGTCTCAATTCACTGCAGGACTTTTATGTCTTCATGGGTTAAGAAGAAGCAGAGTAAAGTCAGTGGAGATTTTTCTCCCATGGGAAACATGGAGATAGCATAAATGAGTGATGTAGTCCTATGCCTGTTTACTCATAAGTAAATCTCACTGATTCAATAGCATTTACTCCCTAACAGGCAAATCAGTTTGCATATTTACAGCACAACCTATGGATTTTTACTCAGAAGTAAACCCCTCTGTTTATTCCAAGGTCTGTATAATTAGCATTATGGCCTCAGGGCCAGACAAGAACTGAATTCAATTAACCTGTATGACTTTTTATTTGTTTCTATTGCTGCCAATGGGAGCTTTCCTGACATGCAAATAATTAGTGGCCCAGAAATGAGTTTTGTAGAAAATGTGGCAGGGAGGTGAAGAGTTAAACTGTTCCTGAATACTTCTATCCTTCCCTACTACCAAGGCTGCCAAGCTTCCCTGCAGCTGCAATTTACATACCTCCAAATGTGTGGATTAATTATGTTCATGCAATTAACATCACATCTAGCCTGTCCTTTAATGTAGTAAATCCACAACTCAAGCTGACTCCCAGGATAAGTTGATTAAATGAACTCATAAGACCAGTGTGCCTAATTCTTTGTTTCAGTCCCAAAAAGTGCTTCACACAGAAACAGTGATCACACGTCACATGTATGTGGAGCACATTTCGAGGGTTTAGAGAACATTCGATGTACTAAACCAAAAATTTGTACCCTGGTTTCCATGGCCTGATGCCTGCCAGATGTGTTAGACTACAACTCCCTAATCACCCAGGCAGTTACACTGTAGGCTAAGACATCTGTATAGCACCTGATTGGAAAAGGCTGAAAGCATTACCTTTCCCACATTATACATGATGTAATAGTGTCTTCTTGGTGAGCTTCAGCAAGGCAATCTTATACAGTATGGGAGACACTATTGTGCTGACGCATAAACCCAAGAAAATAGCTGGAAGAGCCCATGGTAGACTGCCAGCAAAACTGAAACTGCAGTAATAGCAGGGGGGGAAAGAGGTAATATAACCTCTTATTAACAATGTACATTCACACAAAGTCCAAGGCGATCTCATGCCACCCACAAATCACAATGTCTCTCCTGATGACACCCCTGCATTAGCCTTGCAAAGAAGCAGTCTCTAGGGTCTAGGCCCACTTCTCTTAAAATACAGCCTCTGAGAGTGTTGCCTCATATTCTGAATCAGAACTGGAAGAAGAGGTGGGACTGGAATTCTTAGCTGAAACAGAAAGGCCAGCAGGTCTAGAAATAAACCAAGAAGCCACAAACTATCAGACCACTTCTGGTTTTATAGGAAGCTTTGTTGAACAGGTAGAGGAGGACGGAAGTGGATTTAACATTATTAGACTAATTATATGGTGTCAGTTTAAAAGGGCAGACCAATTAAGATTGGCTGATAAACAACATGTACTATACTACCCTGAAGGTGGCATCAGCTCCATGTGGTTAGGAAGGGAGGAAAGTTATTCATTTTGGAGTCAATTTATATCATTAGACCACATTTCCCCAATAAACTAGTATTCTAACTTTGCTGGTGCCATGTGTTATTGCAAGAAAGAATTGCAATATTAACTTTTGTGTCACAAAGCCAGCCTAGCTGGCCACTTTTAACATCACAGATACTTTAGTTAGGAGGCCTTTGTCTTTATCTTCTTGGAAAGGTGTGTGGGTGGGGGAATGTAGTGGGCAGAGACTAGCTCCTGATATCATCAATCAATATATGTGTCAGCATGAGCACCATGATGATGTCACCTGATTCGTTCCTCACACCCTTCCAGGCACAAGCATGGTGCCAGGAAGAACCACAGTGCTTCCTTGAACACAGGCAATGTCATGGCATTGAAAGCCACAAGAAGATGCATCCAGCAAAATGTGGGTCACTGCTGAGGAGGGAGCAGAAGATGCAAACAGCAACAGAACTGAATCTCTTTGTTCCTCTGTGGCTCCTGCACCTGAGAAATTGCATAACAGAAGGAGGGGGAGCAGGTCATTCTCTCCATCACTACGCAGTTACATCATTTTTGCTCATGCATTCTGGAAAGGCAAAGGAGTCAGGGAACATGTTACCCTGCACAGAAAAACTTGCCTTTCCAGTGATTGTTACAGCAGGTGTTTTAGGCCTCATGTGGCCTTCACGCCACCAGGGAGTGCAGAACATCTTATCTCTGCACATTTTGAATCTGGGAATTTAAGGGAAAGATAAGGACATTCATGTCTCATAAGTAGCATCTGCAACAGGAGCTTTTGGTGCCTGGATGCTCAATACAAGTTGATGAGTGAGTATTTGAGAGAATGCCATTAGACAGGAGATTTTTCAGTCTGTGTATCTCAGCCTAGTTCTGCACTTTCCTTCTAGTCTGCATTTCAGCCTTTCCTGATATGTGCACATTGGCAATTTAACTGATGCGTTAGAGAATGAAATCATTTCAACAATATTCGACTATCCTTGTAGGGAGCTGTATTGGATTCTTGCTGCAGTTTCCTTTTCATTCTGTTCCATGCATCCTGATTCTTATCCTTCAAGGATCATGAGTAATTAATCTGCATTTTGAACAGATAGAATAGAATAGTTTATGTTCACTAGCAAAGATGTCTGTACTGTTCATTGTTATTAGCAATGTATGGTAAGTACTTGGCTGTCGGGGGTTTTCTTCTGGCATATTTAGCCTATGCTCTCTGCAGTGCACACTGTTACTACCTGTTAAGTAACGGAGATCAATAAGATGGTACTGTTTCGTCTGTTTTCAAGGGTGACTCTATGAGGTTGATGTAAAGTTCATCATAGTTAGAGCAAACACACTGAAATTAATGGATCTACTCTAAGTCTGGCTGGATTCAATCCAATTTTGTATGGGTGTTTGCATCTTCTGCCACGATGAACTATTTGGGAAAGAGGAATGTCCAAGGATTGTGTTTTGGAGCTTAGCTTCTCCCTCACTAGTGTGGTCTCTCCTTTGTTTACCTATGTAGGACTCTATGGCTGGGTTCACTCATCTTGAGAACGGGAAAGACCATCCTGTGCACACATGTTGTGTGATCCCACCCTCTTACTTTCATCCCTAGCTGAGTGGAACCAGGAAATAGGTTGGATGTTTCTACCTGGAGTCTTGTGGCAGGGCTCCTATATGATTTTAGGCAAGGTCAATCTGCCCTTATTTTGCTGTGATTCTGACCAACAGCTGTTTGGGCAAAATGCTGTCTTTCACTGTCACCATACTTCCTAGCTGTGTGCCCATCATTTTCAAAGCATGGGCACAAAGTAAAGATACCCCATGAATGTTGACCTGTGAGATCTGTGATCTCTTCTTGGAGTTTCTGTACTTTTTATGGTGTTTCATTACTAGCTGCTCAGTTGGTCAAAATTTTATCCTTTCCTGTGGTTCTTGGGGAAATCTTTGGAGCTTTCCCTTGTTTCCTGTGTTTTCTCGTCACACTGCTTCTTTTGTTGGTGCACCTTATTACACTGTTTAGGGTTAACCTTTAACTGAACATGGGTTTCTAGTGATAGCTCAGCTCCTCCTCTACCAAACCTGATACACCCAGTTTTGCTCCTTGCACTGGCAGTGTTAACTTATGAGAGTCACACTGTACCACCATAATGTTTCACCCTGCTTGCACTGTTGTATTTGTACCCCCATTAAGCAGATGTAAGTCAGTCACAGAATTAATCTGCTTATGAATTTGTGGGAGTGAGATTTGTAACAGGGGCTTTCTCACTCCAGTATAATACACTAGGTCTCAAAGCAAAGCAAGTATATGCAGGTGTTTGGTGCCACTGCCTTCAGGCCAAGCCAAATAGAATTTAACAGTGGTGAATGCTCAGCAACAATACTATTTAACATCTGGAGGCCACATGTAAGATAATGACTTAACTGGGCAAAGCTTAGGGTCATCAATCTTTGGCTCTAACATACTATTTGATACCATGTATAGAGGCTAGTAGTCCTCAGTATGTCCTGTAGGCAGGACTGTAGGTGTCCTACCTGCCCAAGAAAGGCTGAACTATATGGAATCTAGATTTTCCCACAGGCTCATTTCTTTAGAACACTTACTTCATTTGAACAGTAACAACAACACCAGCTAGGGTGCAATCCTATATATGTTTAGGCAGGAATAAATCATATAACTCCCAGCATTCACCAAGGATTATGCTGTAATACTTATGCTTAAATTAGAAGCTTGAAAATGTTTGGCAGTACTCTCAGCTGATGGATCCACTTTTAGAGAGAATCTTACACTGGAGTCCATTTTGTTTGTGAGGCATAGCTGTGCTGGTATTTTTCCAACATGCAACTGCTGCTCTGGGAGCACATGCTATCAAATACAGCAATGTCAAGCAAACATGTTCACAATGTGACTGAGTGCCACACACAAATGCACTGTGTTATCTCTTCAGGAAAAGTAGGAGGAGCTTAAACATCCATGTGTGTTTATTGTCAGTGCTTGTAAAGCCAGCTTTGCCACAAAGCCATAATATAATTCTGTAATTGTGGGAGCTTGCTTTTTTTCTTTCCTTTTTTAGTTCACTAACTCATGCACACCTTTGCTGTTGTGCAGCAATGGAGGTCTAAAAATAGTGTGTGTGGTTGTTCACTGCTGTGCAGCTGTGTAGGTGTGCAGTTAAAAAAATAGCTATGAAAGAACCCCCGTATAGAATCCCTAG